GGGGGGGGGGGGGGGGGGGGGGGGGGGGGGGTTCTTGAAGATTCAATCGTTAGGTCGGCGGGTTGGGGCCCGCGATTGAGGCGAGAGTAGTTCGCAGTTAATTTAGAGTGCACGGAGAGAAGTATTCAGTAAAAATTACCGAGCAATTCGCGTAATCCGCAATGGGGAATCATTTTCCGGCAATTTTTGTAGGAATGGAAGAGAAGAAATCTGAAACTTTCAGTGAATTTTCAGGCTCATCACCGAACAAAGTACGAAATTTCACTTTTTATTGAATTTTACCTCGCGCGCGGATTCCGTTTCGAAAAGTAATTTTTACGTATTTTTCTGGTAATTTTTATTGAATTTTTCTCTCCGTGTGAACAAATTGGAAAAATAGGCGATAATTCTACAATTTCAATTATTTGTTATTGGAGAATAGCCTTGGGGAGGTTTATAGCTTTCACAAGCCTCATCGCAGTGTCTCCACGTGCCTCACGAACTCCCATTAAATTTTATCGAGTCAGAAGCAAGAAATAAAATTTATTATCTAATAAACTGTTACAGAAGACAATCGTCAATTCTTGGGTATTTTCATGTTTCTGTCCTGAGTTTCAAATGCAGAGGAATTTTTTTTAATAAAACGTGAACGTTGATTCTGTATTTTCTGGCCCGTCTAATGCCACTGAGACCCTCACTTGCCTCAGAAATGCAGAAATAAAATAGTATATTGTGCATCAAGGGCGGAAATTCATGTTTTCCCGCCCGAGGTGTATGGAAGAATCGGTAAGCGACAGTGATGATGGCGCCGCACCCGTCAGACCGAAGAAGAAAAAAAAAGTGCATCATACAATGATTAGAGATCGGCAGGAAAATAATTTCCATTATTGTTATTATTATTTCATTACTATATCAATGGTTAATGAAAAAATGGAATTATTATTTTTTTCGTAATGAATAATATTATGAAATGTCATTTTCATTACAATACTAATGAGAAATGAAAATGAAAAACGATATACATGATTTATCAATCGATAATGGCATAAAATTTATTTTCACTATTATAATAATGGATAATGAAAACGGAAAAGTGCAATTATTTTCGTAATGAACAATGAAACCAAAGATGTAATTGCCACACGTGAGTCTCAGCTTTTCGATGCATGTATCGGAATCTGAGTGACTAAAATTTACTAGATGCATAAAAGTGAAAAATAAATGGTGGAAATAGTTTGTTGTTCGGGAAAAAAATTCATTGGATTTGATTTCAACGAACTCAATTAGACAAACACTAAATTAGTTACTTGCTTGCTTTGCAAAAATTAATAAAATCTACCTAAAACACGAAAAATCATTATTTTTGCGCGGGATTTTTGCAATCACGTTTACTACTGAAATCACAAGAATATTTTAATAAACTAAACCGCAAGGTCAGCATGTGAATACTGATTTGAATTACTCTGATGAATCGAAATTCTAAAGTCGCAAAATTGAGAAAAAAATCCGATATTTGTTTTGAAGTGAAATTCGCTTGTATAATTTTACCGAATCGCCGAAATCTTCATAAGAAATATTTTAATTTTTTATCCGGATGCATAATTTCAGGGAGACGCTGGCAGTCCATTCGTTGACGAGAATATCGTATATGGTGTGCAATATGATTGTTATAATTCAGTAACGAAGCGGTAAAACGGTTCAAGTCGACTTAGCCCTCTACTGATTTCTTGAGGAATATCTCCGAATCTAAGGGAGATAGCGAAATTTTCATAATGAGCTTTTTCATAGATCTCAATTCGCTCTACAAACAAGGTTATAACGAAAATTTTGCTATTTGCCTTAGATTCCGAGATATTCATCGAAAACTGACCAAAAGCTAACATCGACTTAAACCGTTTTACCGCTTCGCTACTGAATCGAAACCTAATCAGGCTCGCCTGGGCATGACTCGATTGAAAAAATACGACTGTGAAAAAATAAATGCTTCTCTCAAGTAAATGGATATTTGGCAAAAATAATTTTTTGTCTCAGTGTGGCTAACATCCTTAACACTGTAATTAATTGAGAATTGATGTTTTTCAAATTCGCGAAAAAACTCGTTCCGCAAAATCTCGAGGGCTGAGTCGAGTGATATCAGCCACACCGTTGCGGCAGGAAAGATATTTCGGGCCGGTGAACAAGGTAAACAAAGCTAGTTGCCCCGACTACAGAATCTAGACGCGCAAGCAGTCTTTGCGAGTGACGTCTCTCTCTAGAACCCCGGACTGACGACGATTAATCAACCCCTCCTTTCTGGAACCACAGATGCCCTCTCCCTCACCTCGTCCTCCCTCAGTGTGTGTTCCCCGTACATGTGCGTGTGCATTTAGCGGGACTTCGCATTTTCATTAATCCCACTTTTCGTCAGATCGTCATGTGTCGCTAGAGTGGACGAAGAAAGAAAAACAGAAACGATGAGAAACGAGAGATTTCGACGGGGTGATGTATTTTTTTTCGTCTCCTTTGCACGATTAAGATACATCGTCGTTGAATTCTCTCAACTCTGACTGATGCGTTCAGAGAAATGACCCATTTTAATCAAATAAAACTGTTTATTTGAAAATTTCGGTTTCTTTCAACAATTTTTTCGTTTCTTTGTAAATTCGGAAAATCGTATTTATTTCGATGGAATTATTTCATATGAAGTAAATCATTTGTCCGTCAGCTTCAGTGTCTATACACATGCTCGGGCGATGATTTTTTTTCGGGCAACACTAGATTTCGACAAGAGTGTCAACAAATAGTGATGATGGGTGCTTTTAAAGGGGTTGGAGGGCCCGTCTTAAAACAATTATCGTTAACCGACCAAGACGGTGATAGGCCGCAGCGTGAGCCAGAGTCCAACATAAATAGTTGGAGCAGGCAACAACAGAAAAGTGATTGATGATGATACTGTAAGCGCACGCTTTTGCCCGTGTCCAGGGCTCGTGCTACACAAATGCACCGAACACGAGAGCCACGAAAAAAAAGGAGACGAAAAAAAGAACTGTAGCCGAAGAAAAAAGTAAATTGCAGACACATACACATACATTACGGCGACTCTTTCGCACGGAGTTGTATAATATCAGAGGCATTCGGACACTGTGGGGCCCCTGTCAGCGTGCAGCGATAATAAATAATAATCTGAGGGGAGGGCGATCCTTGTGGGAAGGGAGATGGCAATGAAAGAGAAGTGAAGACTGAGCCCGGTCTAGGCGGTTTCGGTGACGGAGGGGACAGCACGATATTCCGAGTGAATAACGCAAATGATTTCTACTACTGACTTCATTTCGCCGGTTAGATAATCATACTGGGACAGTGGATGAGGAGAAAAAGGACGCGTGAAAAATGTAGTTACCAACCGCACGTGGAAACGCCCCCGGGAGTATGATGTATTGCATTTTCTAGGTTCATTAATGCTCACGGCGAGGCATTATAGCAATCTGCCCTTTGAATAAACTGTGGAGTCTTCATCACTCATTTTATTTCATCATTGTTGCATTGGGAATGAAGAGGAGGAATTGAAAAGGTAAATTCAGATTTTCGAACGGTATTTATTTTTTATTTTTGGGACGACTTTGAAAAATTTTAACTCGTATTTTATTTTTTATTTTTTCCAATCGTGATGGCGCGGAAAAATGTACACCTGAGTATTGAATGAGGGAAATGATCAACATAAAATATGAAATCAGTCCCACGTTCATACGATTTTTCTTCTTGACGATGTGAACTCTGAAAGTTTGTGGATGACACTTTTGAAAGGGACGCTAACCTCCTTCGGCGATGAAATTGAAGCGCACGCATGCGCCTAGATTCCTTGCGCATGCGCTGAGGGGTAATCTAACGCATTTTCGTTTACACCGACGGCTTACACTTCCCAAAGTGAATTTTTAAAAATTAACGAAACGTGAAGAGAGTGTTCGTTTCGATTGATTATATTGGTGGTGAAATTTCTAGGTTATAGCCGTCCGTTTACTTTCTCCATTGACAGCTCAGAAGGGACTCTCGATGGATTTCCACCAGTCATTTTTCATTTTTCTATTCTTCGTCAGAATTTGAAATTTTTATTGCAATTTTGGCTTCGGCAATAGCCATTTAATCATGTCATTACTAGTTTAGACTTCAGAACTTCTTTTAGAATAAAAAATGGACCTGAAGGGGAATGCCTTGAGCGTTAGAAACCCAGTGCAATTTGATTGATGATTCTTTATTGCTGACATTGGCACAATCGAAGTTTTGAATTACAGTTAAATTTAGAATGAGTCAATTGTTAATATCATTCACCAATTTTTTTATTTTAAAAATAACCGTCAATTTAAATTTTCAAATCCCGAATTATTTTATCAACCAATAATTAAAAAATTAAATAACCAATTATTATATTATTCTTCAAATTTCAATAACGATAAGTAAATCTAAATTACTGTATGGTGCAACATCTCATAATATTACTAAAGTAATGATTGATGCCGATGTATGATGGCCCAAAGTCATCTTAATAAACCGTGAAGAGATTAAATAAAAATTTCATAAAACAAAAATCTATCAGTTAAAAAAAATGTCTCCTCCTGTATTTTTTTTAAAGCCATCATTTTTTTCTCTCTCCCATCATCACCAAACTGAGCAAAATTCTTTCGTAGTACTACTTTCTCCCTAGAAATATCCAAAATGAAGACACAACAATTTTCCACGGGAGAATTATACCTGGCCCCCTTCAATATTTCCGAACGACGTTCGTCGATATTTTATGACGCTGCCTCCAACGACAGCGCCCAGCATCAGCCCTAGAATATCTGAGGACACGCGAGGCCACGCGCCAGCTGTGGACTTCCTTGCGGACTCCCCTCTCGTCCACCGTGAAGCGCTATTATTAATTTTTATTTCACCTCTCCTCCCGTAAACAAAATTATTGATGTTTCCTCCAGGTAGGTCTTGCCCCAAGACTCCTCTGACCCTAACAATGACTCATAAAAACTTTCTCTCCGAAGTGGTAGCCCCTTGTCGTCACCCGTGCGGGTCTCCATAAAAGTATTCTCGCAAATTTCACGATGATTCGTTCGACCTTTTCTCCCGTCGAAAATATTTTCCCCAGGAGTCTCCATGTTTTTCCTTACGAGAGAATAGAGTTCACAAAAAAGCCGGACTAATGCCTCTGTGTCCTCCGTATCTGACGCAAGGTCATCGCACCCCTAAACGGAAAATGGAATTTGAGTTAGCTCCAGTGGAGCCCCGGCACTTTGCGATTTTCAATTAGTTGTGCTCGACAATTTTCCCCGAACCTCCGAATTAAATGGGGGACTGCCGCGCGTGAAATGGCGGATCGACATATGTGACGCGCGCTAACCTCTATTTTCTGTTCACAGGGGCGAAAAAAGGGAGTACGGTGTACCTAAGGGGGGCGGCGTCAGCTACCATTTGGGAAAATTGGGAATATCGGGACAGACCAGACGGTTAGGCTGCTATTATTGTACGATTGATTTATACTTTGTTTGGAGAATACGGTTGGGCCACAATGACGGGGTATCGGGAGTAGTTTTTCAATAGCGTTTTTGTCCGAGATTCCATTATTTTTAATTGGATGACGAAAAATTTCAACTCAAATGAGACAGACAACACATGACGTCTCTGTTTTCGAAGATTGGGCAGAGGATTTTTCAAAATAAAATTTAAAAAAGATAAGGGGCTTCAAAAATAAAAATTTCTTTAGATCACATCTGTATCGAGGAAGACATATTTTTTGTCTTTGACATATGACGGTTTTAAAATGACGATTTTCCCACTGATGACATCTCCATTACCTCCGACATATTTTGTCAAAATAAACAGTGGGAGGTAAATAATAATCCTTCAGGGGCACACCCAGGGGCGCTGCAGCGTAGCATCTAATGCGCTAAAATCCCTTCGGAAGGTATCAACAAACATTTGGCTGGCTTCACGGCCTCTCAAAAGCAGCGCTACGAGCGCCATGAGAATATTACTCGACTAATTCGCGTCAATGTTTACCCGTTGGGTGCTAATCTCAGTGACCCATCCCCCGAGAGGACACGACACCCCATTGTACGAGGCTCAAGTACCTGAAGATGACCTGGGGATTATCCTTTATTTGGGGCTCCCTCGGACATACCAGAGTTACTCCCCGAAGGACCTCCCCCACTCCAGGCAACTCTGACTCTTTTCAGAAGACGTAAAACATCCTCCGACAGTTTTATTTTTTTGCTGCATGAAATTCACGTGATTTTTTTTCCCCGCCCGCTGCAGAAATAAGGAGACAACTTTATTCAATCAGACGGTAGTCGAGACTCCGGCGCAGTAGGAGGGCAAGAAAAACGATTGACGCTTCACTTCTGGGCGGAATGACAACAGCGCAAACGTGCCGATGAATTCGTGATGAGACGAGAGTGCAGAAGGTCAGGATATCAGGGAGAAACTTTGGACTTTATCAAGTTGGCAAAGCTCTCATCATGCGGAAGACTTTAATCATAATTAAAAAGTGGTTTGGGAAAAAAATTAGCGAGGAGTGGGATTAGCAGGTGTAATAGAATTTCAAGTAACCACACTCTACTTAATATTCATTTAATTTGAAAGAACATTTCAGTAGCGAAGTGGTCAAACGGTTTAAGTCAATTTAATCTTTAGTTGAGTTTTCCAGAAATATTTCCGAATTCAAGGGAGATAGCGAAATTTTCATAATAACCTTTTTTGTAGAGCGAATTGAGTGCTACTAAAAAGGTTATGAGAAAAAATTTGCTACCTCCCTTAAATTTCGAGATATTCATTGAAAACTGGCCAGTAGCCGAAATCGACTTAATCCGTTTGACCACTTCGCTACTGATTTATTTATTTTTCCTCGCCATGTATACCCTATCCAAGTTTTTACATATTTGCGGTTTCATGGGCCGACTTCCTCTCCAACCGTGTCGCATTGTACCCCAGGAGGTGTACTCCACTCCAGACTCTCCTGGTGACTAAGCGAACCATGGAAAACCCTAGTAGACTCGAGCTTCCATCGACCGAGCTTCATCGGAGAATTTTTTCCTAACACTCCTCCGATGATTCTCTGTGTTCGACGGTTTCCAAAAAAATAAAAATCCCAATTGCCCCGAGCCGGACTCGAACCCGCGCCTCACGGGTCCCGCCGTCCGGCCGACCGATTCAAACACTTCGGCCACCGTCGCCGGTCGAAAGAACTTTGAGTTCTACGAGTTTTTTTCTCGTGAATGTGGAAAATTATGGACGGATGTTGATCATATTATCCGCTATTTTCCAAACTGCTACAGAGGAAAAAATAAATTAGGATATAACCATATCGGTCAGAAAAAAAGGAAACCTCGAGCATACGTCAGCTGAACGTCAAACGGATGAATTTAACTTCCACGATTCGAGTTTCTAAATGAGGAGGCTGATGGACATACGTGCGGAGCTGTCTTTGGCGTTTATTCAACGATGTATCAGCACTTTTTGCGCCCCGCCCAAGGAACGCCCGGTGCTATGTAAGGGGAGAGTGATTGCACAAGTGCCCATCGTGGAGGGCTGATCCAAATAATTGAAAAAAAAACATTAATTATACATCAAATCATTTTTTTATTCGCCAATGGACAAAAAAGGCAGCAAATTGATCAGATACGTTTGTGTTTGAAGAATTTTTATTTCGTCATATGAACGTCCAAGTTACATAAGCAGATCATCATTAACAAAAGTAAACCGGTGATTGAATTCCTCGGGAAACCCCTCTAAACGTCGCCATAAGTTTCCATATTCTCCTTGACCCAGTCCATGAAGGTCCAAACTCGGGTGAAAACATCCGGGTATCCGAAGGCGCAGGGGTAGCCGAAGGATACGAGGCCCACGAGGACGCCATCGGATGTCAAGGGACCACCAGAGTCGCCCTGGAAAAGACCCCCCAAGATGAAGCAAATTCCTACCTTAATGTCTTTCCTAAAAGAAGAAACAGGTCACGACGTCTGCGATCTCACGTCCTATAGGTGCGCCGTGGCACTAGCCGTACGGTAAAAGTCACGGACGCGTAATGATGTGACCTTCAACCGAAATATCTCGAACATATCGCAAACATCACGAGCCTGTCAAACTCAAGCCCGAGGTTGCCCCCTCCCACTTGTCTATTCTCACGGCATAAGGGCGTATTCATAAAAACGAAAAAAAAAATCACTTACGTGACACGCGCCCTCTCCGACCTTCGTAAACGTGCAGATATGATCGTGTGTCACCACACTATGAATAGATTTGCATTTAGCCTGATCAATAATGACGAGATCCAACTCCTGGAGTTTATCGGGAAGTGCGCTGCCGAGTCTAGTGGAGCCCCATCCGCTGATCACAGCGGGGTAGTCCACTTGCTCAAAGTCACTGGTTGGAGGGGCGATCGGGGCTACCCTGTCACTGAACCACATTCTCGTAGCGAGCCTCACTAATCCGATGTCGTTGGCGAATTTACTGGCGTCGTAGTCCTCGTTCGGGATCACCATGCTGACGTTATATTTGGTTCCACCTTTGCTGAGACGGTTCGTGCCGACGACGACTTTGATTGACGATGCTGTTTTACTAAAATTAAATTATATTCGAATAATTTAGCTTATGAGCAATTGCTGAGTTCAAGAATTGAAGAGCAGTTCAAAACATGTGCTCCATCGCCATCAGAAATTTGGCCTCAAGGATTTACTTGACAAGGAATCACTAAATTCCTTGAAGGACACATACGACGTGACATAATTTTACGAAAGTCGTCACAGAAATACCGAATCAATATCCCAAACATCTCAAACCCCCGTCGCACTCTCGACTGAGTCAATCATCTCATTCGTCTATTCTCACGTCCCAGACGCGCCGGCAGACTAGTCACTAGAAACGGACGACAAAAATTCCTTGACTTGTTGAGGCCATTAGTACTTACGATACGAGGCAGTGGGCAGCAGTCAACACCCAGCGCTCGTTGATGATGACTCCACCACAAAAATGAGAGCCTTGACGAAATCTCAGAGAAACTTGATACGGATGGGCGCCTTCTGCAGCATCGTGGCCTCCAACGACTCTCGCGATGTCTCGACCTTCGTAAAACGTAAGTATTGTCAACCCTATCAGTCTTAATTACCTACCTTGAAGTGTTCACTTACCTGAAACGGCCAACCCGAGAGTCAGGAGAATCGCTGTAATGAAGAGCTGCATTTCGACGTGATCTGTCTAGCTTCTCTAGTGATTCCGATCCTGCTCTTGCTCTTTTATACATCAGTCTCGATCCAGGATGTTTCGATACTGTCATCACATTCTGATTGATAGAGATTTCGTAGATGGCATCATCCGAATATCGCGCGTCTGGTGGATTACGATCAATTTTTCTCAGAAGATATGAGGATACTTTAACATTTATCGGATGATGATCTACTCTAGGTCTAATTCAATCGACATCTCCAATCACTTCGGGCTTCTTAACTGATTCGGAAATAAATCGGGGCTTTATCGGTAGCTGAACTGCGTCGTATTCTCCACTTTCTTTGTTGATGTTTTATTACAGATGAGAAATGTTTTTTTCAAACTTAATCTTTTATTTTCATTTGCGGTTTTAGGCGCGAAGAACTATTCGAAATTCTTGAACTGTTTATTTTGGACAAGTGGAATTTTCTGATTGAATAAATATATGAGTTAATTAACTAATTAATTAATTCAAGGAATTTATTTTATTCAAAAACAGCATTTCTCTGCGTGTCATCAAAAAAATTCTCATCGGTTCTGAAACATTGATGAACAGTTCCAGGAATAAATGTCTTTTTTTCTACAATTGTTTTTCCTTTTGTCCATCGTGAGAAAAAAAATCATTAGACAAAGAAAAATGAATTAAATATATTCCAAGATCAACAATGCGCGGGATAACGGTGCGAGCGTCTGTGGGGGATCGTTGTCGTATCAATGCGATGGATTGACTGTTCTTCCGATGATAAACGATGTTACGGTTCCTCGGAGCCCATACCACCGAGTGCCCCCTCATGTACCGCAAATACTGGGATATCCACCCTCGATTCGATTCAAGCGCAGAAGCAACAATGAGAATAGATAAACCGTCGAGAGAGAGAGAACAATTTTCTCTGAACCGAGAATAAACATTTATCTCAATATTTATCACCTTATTTATTCAATTAATTATTCTCCACTTTTTCTGATTTAATCCACTGAGATAAGATGGTATGACAAAGTGACCACAAGTTGCGAGTAAACTCGGGCAATTTTTTTTATTTCACGAAAAGTTAACGACTGTTTTGCGTGCGCAGGAGGTGACATTGTGTGTGGTATTCTTGCTTACTACGTGTGCACGCGTCTTTTTCGGTTGCTCGCGACACACCCTGCTGCTGCACGCATGATACAACTGGTGTTTTCGGTGGCAATTAAAAAATAAAAATTTGAAATTTGTAATTTGAAATTTGAATAATCATAATCGGAAGGTCCCGGGTTCGAACCCCCGTCTGGACTATTAATTTTTTCAGTAAAAATTGTCTGGTTACTCATATTGAGAATAATACCGATTCCCTCCTCAGTGATAGGCATATCCACCAATTATAATTACCGTTAAATTGTGAAGCCTTCAATGTTTAACATAAATCTTAAAAAATTTTAATCTTAAAGTAACCATCAACTTGTACAATTAAATTTCGAAATATTCTATCAACTAATAATTTAGGTAGGAAATTACATTTTAGTATTTCAAATATTTTATTCATCTTCAATCGCAAAATTTAGCTAATAAATTCTGCAATATTTATAATTCGGTACATATAGTTAAACTTTGAACAATATAGCGATATAATCCTTTTTAATGTTCCCAAAATCTAATATTATTGTCTATCGCTGTCCCTTCTACCTCATCCAAACCCGATTCAATAATTTCCTATGACGTCACAAAGATGAGGAACGCTATATGAATTTCCTTCTTTAATTTAAAAATAAAGTACATCGTACTGTTTTTTAAACGATGGTTTGCACGTTGAATGAGATTGTGGAAGAGGACGAGTCCGCACCTTCCAACGAGTCTGAAAAAAAGGGAGAAGTTGGCCGCGCGAGTGTGCGCTCCGGGAATTTAATTTATCGATGCCTCGTCGCGCGGTTCGTCTGGGTGCACGGGGTCGTTCAATGTATCATTAGGCAGTTATTGCGATCACCGGCGCTCACTTTTATTTCAGGTATAAGAGAGATTATTTTTTTTCCATCCACGTGTGTTCACGGATACATGTTAAGGCATATGCAACGCGGGACACCGGGACTACAAGGGAAAATACCCGCTGTGGCGTGCGCGTAGGTGAGCCGTTCTGGCTTCATTCACGTCAGACACTGCGACCACGTCATTTATCTGGCCTGCCTCGATCCGGCTAACGATCCATTGCTTTGGAATTCACTCGTCGAGTTGTTCGCAGTGGATGCTGGGGTTAAAATTCTGGTGGTATTCAAATGCCGAATCAATGCGCATTGTTCAGAAAACAATTTCTGGGTTTCTAATGTTACACAAGACATTTTTCAATGCTGATGCTTAATTGAAATGAATTTATGATTGCTTGAATCGATTGTGACGTTCCGGCATTTTTCTCACGTTTTCGAGTGATTGATTGGTTTTTTATGGTGAAAGAGTTTTGGGATTGAATGGGGATTGAGATGGAAGAGGGGGGGATGGGCTGGGATCATTTGGGTGTAGAGAATGAAGAAGAAAGGTTGTCATGAAAATAATGTAAAGTATTTCGCGATTTTAGATCAGATTAAGTACACGGAGGGAAATATTCAGTGAAAATTACGGAACAATTCGGAATCGTTTTCCGGCATTTTTTATGGGAATGGAAGAGAAGAAATCTGAAGCGTTCAGTGAATTCTCAGGTTCATCACCGAACAAAGTACAAAATTGTCACGTAATTTTTCCCGAAGAAGTAAAATATTACAGAAATTTGCCGACTTATTGTGCCTCCAAAATCAAAAAATCTTGAACGTTCAACAAAAGTCTCTCGGGAAGGGATGAACTCTTTTCATCCCAAGTCTCCGGACAAAATGAAACAAAAAATAACCCAAAAATGCAAACGAAACATGAGTCATAAATAATAATGGCAATTCTGTTCCAGAGAAAAGTTTGCTACCACAAACAGACTCTCGCAATTTTTATCACTCATAAATACCGAGAATAGGAGTTCATCACAGCCTGGACTTATGCAAACAGACGGAAGTTGTCTCAAGATAATAAATAATCAGTTATTGACGTTTGTTTACTCTTGTTGGCAGTTGAATGAGGGTCAATGAAGACAAAGAAACCGAGATGATAATTGCGAATACAATATCGCAATTATTTCAAAACACTCAATTGACGGGAGATGATTCGATCACGTGCGAGGGAACGTTTTATGAGGCGCTGTCCATCAGGCTTGTACCCCACCAGCGTAAAACACGCCGCACACGCCGGTTAATTAGTCGTACCTCGCTCTGGAGGTAATTAATCAACAGGTGTCTGTCTTACCTGTCGGAACAATTAGGCGCACCCTTTCATTTGCATCGGGCATTGCCGAATGGAACGGAGGGGAAAAGAATTAATGTAATTATGTCATTTGCGGGACTCGGTTTTAATTCCAGTTTTTGTCAATTTTTGTGTTTCCGTTGGGTCAACATTCCAATTTTGAAAGACGAGAAATAAAAAAAAATACAATTTAGCAGTGAAGGGAAGACGAGTCGTTTTCAGAAACATTGATTGAATCAAAAGAAATTATTTTGCACGAATGAATTATTTATTTTTTATAGTTGAACCGGATGAATGAATAAATTCATTATCCTAATTAGTACATGTCACAAACATGAGGAAAATAATTTATAAACAATAACTGAATAATAATAATAATAATAATAAATCATTAATCAGATAATAAATGACATAATAAATAAAAAAATAATGAAATAATAAGATAATAAAATAATGATAAAATAATAAATAATAATAATTTATGAATAATAATTGGTCGTTTTAGCATGAAATTGAATGTCGTCCAAGAATTACATGTTGAAAGGACATGGAATATCATCTCGACATGAAATCAGATCGCGCCATGCGATGTTCTATGCAAATTTTTTCGACATCAATTTCACAATAACCTTCCGCAACCGCAAAAACACCGCCACTATCCCCGAATAATCCCAAATTGACATGTCTGGGTGCAACGATGCTCAAATAGAAATTCAATTGATCTTGTCCCCGTGGTGTCAGACAATTCATCTTAGTCCACCCGTTGGCGACGTTTCGATCGTTCTCGCGTTTTCCGCGTCTACGTATACGATATACTCTTGGATTTTGTTGCCCATACGACGCTCCGTCGGCGCGCTCTTGCGACGATTTCATTCCATCTCGGTTCGTCGAGGGGGAGGGGGGCGGGGGGAGAAAAAAAAACCGGGACAGCTGTCCAGCCGACCGCCAAACTACCCATTAATTACAAAAGTCCTGCAAACTCACATTCGCTTATTTGTCTCTGGCCTCCCAGCCGCACTCCTGGACCACCCTGTGCAACCCCTCTTGTGGCACTGTCCATCAATAAAAATCGTCGCCTGCCAAACTCCAGAGACATCCTCGTTTTCTCACAGGAGACGTCGCCTTCCGCTCGGTTAATTGAATTTAATTGAATTGACAAGTGCATTTGTTTTTACGGGACATCGCATTCTGCACTGCGACGGTTTTTGGATCTCTTTTCGGGCAAATTGAAAATTCGACAAATGAATTAATTCTTGATCATGAAATAATCGAGGCGATCACTTTCATTCATTTCACAGCAAAATAAATGAATTTCAAACGTGAATTGAGATGTTTAGGCACCTGTCCGTCTGAAATAAAATGAAATGAAATAAAAATAATAATAAAAACAATAAATAATAATAATAAAATGATAATATTAAATAAAATGAAACATTGTCTGAATCTCAAACATGAATTAAGATGATTAGGTACCTGTTCATCTGAAATTCAGACAAATTTTTGTTTTTTTCAGACGTTTTCTAGTGTCTGAAAAATTTCTACAAAAGATGTGTGAAATTCAGACGCGTTTTTGCTGTGTTCGCATTATCATGATCTAGTGAGCAATAAAGGGGGAGAAATAGTCATTTTTTATTAATATTGGTACTGCTGATCGTTGTTAACTCGGGTGAGGAAGAGGTTTACACCAAAA